AACTACATCAAACAATATACTGTTCTATAATATAAAAAAAAACATTCAGTCCTTCAAAGTTTCTTTTCCAGTTTCAATTTTATTTCACCTTTCAGAAACGGTTAAACATATGTCATGGATCAAATAGTGAGCATTTAGGGCAAACATTTTTCAAACTATTAAAACAACTTAAAAATTTTGGTGTATAAAAATAAATAAATCTACAGCTTCTTAATAACGAGAAATCTTCTAAGTGAGCATTGACAAGTTGGACTAGTACTCTCAGAAGTTTTAGTAGTAGGGCACTAATACTGTTAACTAGAGATTTTGGGTTCGAGTAGCGGTCTCCGAGTCTTTCTTCCACTTATCGGTTTTTTAATATAAAATGTAATATAATATGTAAGGGAATTTAAGTAATACTATATAACAGTCATTGGTTTTTTTTTTCAGTCTAAAAGCACCACTAGAAAAGATGTTCATAGAACAACGTTTACACATCCAGTGTGAAAAATTTTCAGTGTGCTTCATAAATTGCATAAAATAGTTTGAATTTTGTAACAGTTAAATACGATCACACATATGTCGATAAACGCTAACAAGGTCATAGAACGTCGACTCTGCAGTTTAACTTTCAGTGGCAAGAGAATCTTTGGTGTTTAACAGAGATCCTCAGAATGACATAGATAGTCAGAAACGAACGTCACTAGCTGTTTCCCAGTTTGTGTAGTAAAATTAGTGAATATTATTCGAGCTTGATTGTTTGCTGTAAAGCACAGATCTACACAATGGGCTATTTATGCTCTGCTTGCAGCAAGTATCGAATCCGGATTTGGAGAGTTATAAGCCCTCAGACTTACCTCTGAGCCACCGGGGGTATTTCTTCGAGCTAAGTACGTTTAACGTATAATAACTGTATGTAGCTAAACATATGCATTTACTTTATGAACAATCTGCCTTATGTTTAATCATAAAAATGTGGAGTTATTTTTAGTATTACATGGTCCACACATAAGCGCCATGATATCTTATATACGTCCTTGGTTCAATTTTTAGTATGTTCCGTAGTAATCCCTCTACCATCCTTTCATATGTTATCCTTGCATCAAGCTTTCTGCATTCCGATAAATTTGTTTCTAGAAAAATCATAGCCTGCCATACAATTTTTCCAGCCTAACTTATTTATTTCTTTTATCTCGTTATATGTCCACAATATCTGATCGATTTTTCTGATGTTGAACTGTAGAAGGAGCGGCGGCTGTTTCCTATGCTAACTGAAAGACAAACAAAAAGTTGAAAACCTACGTTTGTGAAATATTATATTGCATGTAAATATGGAATGTTAAGGGTTAGCCTTCAGTGTGACCATTGTACGAGACAAAACTGACATTGTTTTTGTTCGGAGTTGTTGTCTTTGAAAGCAGATGGCCTTTTAGTTTGGTTTTTGGTTTACATAAATGATAAACGTTCTTTTAATAATCACTTCAACTATTCTCTTGTTACTGCTATATGTTTTGTTTATTGTTTTGAAGTACTTAGACTTCAGCATCAACATTCAATATTATTTTAATTGGATATGTCCTTGTAAGAATTGAATCTAACTGTCAATAAAACCCAAAGTTCAAGGTCTAAGCACACTAGTAAGCACGTGTTTGATTTCTTATAATCGGCATTTGCCATAGACTTACACGATAGTTCAACAGTATATCTTTGTGTTTATGAATAACTTTCTCTTTCCGTATTATGATCATGCTTCATGCTAGTATAGTTCGGAAGTTTATATATGTATATAATGTGTTCGTATTATCTGCTATAATATTCAATTTACATTTAAACATTTTATGAAACATGTTTAGTAGCCACTTAAGATAAACTTACTTACTGGTCAAAGACCAGTAGAAGTGACAGTTTGTTT